TTTTTTATTTTCCATTTATGTGCAGGTGTATACACATAGCTCCAGATCCTGACACATACCATTAAACTAACTAAAGGGCACACAAGAAGCTGATGGCAAAGTACTTGGAAATTCTGCTTTTGCTCCCAACTCATTCTATATCAATCGCACACTAAATTCCCAAATGTTAACTCTTGTTTCCAAATGTCCCCAAATGATTTCAAATGGTCTAGCTCCACACTCTGATGAGACAGAAAGATAGTTGGGGGTGAGTAAGGAGAATTTAACTCACTTCACCATGGTTCTTTTCAGTCTTTTCCTTGTCTGCATGAATCTTTCTTAACAGGTTCTTGATCCTCTTGTCATAGAACTGGTGCTTCCTACTGCTGCTCTCATTCAGTTTTCTCACTTGGGTTACCAAGAAGGATGGAACCTAGAAGAAAGAGGGAGAGGAAGAGCAGGTATACGGCTAGGAGTAAGACAAATCCTAGTTTCATTGAAAGGATTGTGGGGACATAATGTGTCATTTTATTTATAACCAGTATTTTCTTCCATAGAGTTCCAGATGCTCCACTTGATTCTCTAAATCTCCAGTTTATCATAATAACAATTTTGATAGGCAGGCTGTAGATTTTCAGATTGTGGCTATTCATATTCAAAGAGTGTTTCTCAGCCTCAGTATAACAACTGAAATACCATTCATGTGGGAAAACAAGTGAAGGACTTCCGCAAGAATGGATCTTTTAGGATTTTAAAGTGGGCACACTCTTCTTTTTTATGTTGAACATTGGCTTGGATCCACTGTCATGCACAGCAAGAGATCCAGTTAGACCAAAGGGCTTAAGTTAGTCAACAAAAGTATGTCTTTGGAAATACACTTACAGTCCAGAGCAAATCCTGGTAATGGATCATCATCTGTACAATGTCAGCTGCCCCCTCTGCCAGCTGTTTCTCCTTCCCTTCTGGGATTTTGTTTGGCAAGCCCTTGTGCATGAAGAGATTTGGTGCAATGACAGTGGAAACATTCCAAAGATTCATCTTGTTTCTTCTTTCTCTAGAAACAACCAGCCTCAAAAACTCCAGCAAGGCCTGAAAGTTTGGAAGAAATATTATTATTGCCAGGTATCAACCAAAAAACACATACACACACAAAAAGACTTGTCAATTTTAGTATGGATGTGGAGGATAAGAATACCAACAGCTCCTTACAAATACTGCCCTTTAAGTTAGTTAAGGTCCACAGCATCTTAGACAGCATGTTCTTCAGTCAAACAGATGGTGCGATGTTCTACAGCATAAGCAGTTTGACCCTTCCATCATTCACGCTAGGAGGTAGCCACTACCTCTGTGTAAAAGTAGCAGCCACAGATACTCACATGGGTGTTCCCCACACATGCAAGGATAAGCTGTGAGATCCCACATTACTGGAGGCAAGCATTTTCCTCACACAAATGTATATACATGGGATGGATATTTAGGTGTTTCCAGGACCACCATTGGGCAAATCAAAGAGGATACATGGGGCAGAAGAGCATCCTCATAAGTCCCTCATGTTAAATCCAGCATTTGTGGAATTAAAAGTGTTAAAAGTAAAAAGACAAGATACAAACATAAGCAGGG